AGGTTGACTCCCAAACAAAACAAAGTATAAAATATACTGCTACTGCTTGCTTGTTTGATTAACTACAGGGTCAGTATTTTGATTTCACTTGAGTAAGTAAGTGAATCTTTTTCTGATGCATGATATCACCTTTTGTGTTCATCATGCACTGTGTTTTTTTCCAGTTGTGTGTAAACTAAACTGAAGCTATCAGTTAAATGTGAGATCGATCAAAATGGCTAACTAAATGATGCCAATTTATGCATTTTTCAAACATCTAGCGTGTTGCAACTAATTTTCTCGGCTCTCTTTTTCTGAGCTGCAGGTTGACTCCCAAACAAAGCAAAGTATAAAAAAAATAAAAACAAAAAAGATAGACATAAGAACCAGGGATCGAACCCGGAACTCCCGCTTGCAGCCATGAGGCAAATGCCACTGTGCTACACAGACGCTTTTGGCAGACAAAAGACTTTCACTCGTAATAAATTAAAGCCAGCGGCGACTTGAGAAGGGAAAAAACGAATTATTTTTTTTCACTTACCGGTGGCAAGGGGGTAATTATTAGCAACTACGGGGGTAATTCTTATGACGGACGACAGAAACCCAATTCTCTTTATTATTAGGTAAAGGTAAAGATTGGGTCACCCCCAATTAGAATGTACTTTGGATCACCCTCGATTGGAATGTAGTCATGCGACCTTTATTCCATACGGTGCTATCTTCGGTGTATGTTTTGGTAACTCATACCTTCTGTACGTTAATCTGAGGTTTACATTATGGTGTCGGAATGGTTCCTGAAAACTTTTACACCTTCACCTTCCCTCCCGTTTCCTTCTGGAGTTGTGGTTAATTTTTTGGAGTCCTCGACACCCCCCCCCCCAACCACCACCATTCCTCATTGTGGCACATGGGCCATAGTTGACTCACACAAATGGTCCAAGGCATTCAACAAAACCAATATTCAAAGTGCTAAACTATAAAAATAATATTTATTTTATATATAAAGAGGTAGAAACAGAGATAAAATAACAAATATTTTTGACATCTCATCGATATTACATATGTCAATCATGAAACGAACACACGTCCAATACAAAGATACTGCGTCCACGAGCCCTTTTTGTTAGCCGGTCACGTCACTCTCGTGCGATGGTGACTAGCTGCTTCCCTATGTTGCGCCCTGAGAAGAGCCCGATGAGCGCCGCCGACACGTTTTCGATCCCCTCGGCAACATCCTCAACAACGGTGATCTTCCCTTCCTTGAGGTAACCTGCTATCTCCTCCTCAAACTTGTTGTAGGTGCCGAAGTAGTCTAGGACCATGAATCCCTCCATGCGGATGCGCTTGGCAACAAGGCAGAAGAGGTTAGGGGCACCATTAGGCTGCTCCAGGTTGTACTGCGAAATCATCCCGCATACAGCGATCCGACCATTCATCCTCATGTTGGGCAGCACTGCGGCTAGCATCGCACCACCCACATTTTCAAAGTAGATGTCAATGCCCCGCGGGAAGCATCTGAGAGGAAATATCACGGGGAGGGAACCATGTTTAGCTTTTGTTTCTTTTTTGTGGAAAAGGTTAGTAGCCATTTGTGATTGGAACTTAGAATTTCATAAGGGAAATGGCTTTTAGAACCTCTTTAGTGCGGCGTTGAGGTCCTCTTCCTTCTTGTAGTTGAAAGCGTCGTCAAAGCCAAACTTGGTTTTTAGGAGGTTGACCTGCGGTTACCATAAAGACAAAGAATTTTCTCATACTTTCACCTTTCAAATTTGAATTGTGGGGCTCCTCCATAATACTTTCGCATTCCTCTACATAATATTAAAAGCATAGAAGATAAATTGAGAATAACTTGGTTACTTGCAGGCTAGATTTCTGACTTTAGGAGGTAGGATGGCTCTACTTGGAACTTGCATGAGTAATGTTCCCAACTACATGCTTTCCATCATTTCAATCCATGATGGAGTGATTACAATGATTAACTTCTTTAGGGCTAGGGTTCTTTGGCAAGAGGACAAGAAAGGTAAATATAACACCTTGCCAATTGGCCAAAGGTTACTATAAAATGGTTATGATTGAAAATGTGCATACATGTTGACTTTCTTCTTAGTGGAATGCTTGAATATAATTCACTAGTAGAAATAACTAGTATTACGATCCCAATGTTAAACCATGAAACCATTATAAAAGCCGTCACATTAATTTCATACCATTACGGAGTACTCCCTCCGTAAAGAAATAACTAGTATAGTGATCTAAACAAGCTTATATTTCTTTAGAGAGGGAGCATATTTTAGGTTAGTTAAAAGTTATTCAACCAATTCATCATTCAATTGCGGGAGTGAACTATTAGACAATTTCAGTGATACAAAGCAGGTGAAAAAAATGAGTATGCGGAAAAAAGGAAAACCTTCTCATCGGAACCAGCACTGCCAACCACATAGCAGTCAGTGATCTTGGCAAGCTGTCCAACAAGCTGCCCGACGGCGCCCGATGCTGATGAGACGAAAACGTAGTCGCCTTTCTTAGGTTTTGATACGTCGAAAAACCCAGCATATGCAGTAAGTCCAGGCATTCCTGCATTAGCAAAGTTCTTGAAATTTTAGTAAAGAAATAAATAGGTATTTACCAGTTTTAAAACTTCGCTAAAGGAAGTAAATCGCATGAATATACGAAGACATCAAGCTTAGATCATACCAATTCCCTTTTTTTGAGGGGTGAAGAGCCTAAATCATAGCGCTGATGAGCTTGATGTCTTATTCTTTTTCTACATATAATTTAGCCATCCATTTTGATTTGTGGCTATGAAATCCATGGTATGATTCCTTGAAGGAAGGTGCATGCATGAATCTCTGGACATTATCTTAGAGTTCTGACTAGTATATTCCCTTTCTGTCCTATTTCTTTATTCTGATTTTTGTCCTCATTAACTAACTAGCGTAACTTATACATGCTTCCAAAACTTGGGAAAGTTCATTCGTAGTTTCTATATATAAGTTGTTTCATGTAAAACAAATAGTCAAGAACACCAATTAAACATCACCACAAAGACAAAAATGAACAAATAACAAACAAGGGTGCCATATGTGGGAGTCAGGAGAAATGAACTCTTTCAATTCTGGTTTGCGAATCGAAATGCCTTGGCAGATCTTTACAAGTGCGCAGGTAGTACAAAAGTTATGCTGTACAAGAAGTACATGAAGCAAAAAGGGACCGGCTAGATACCAGTTGACTGAAGATGTAATTTCGGCCAGTTGACTGGTTTAGCCATCCGATGGAGAATGGACGTCTAGATGAGGCATCTTGAACCTCCAGTCATTGTCTTCTTTCTTTGAACCACTGAGCCACCGCCGGCCTAACCGCCTGCTTCTGCCGCCCGTGGCCAGCGGCCCTCCCGCGACTACCTCGCCGCCCCACACTCCCCTCAATCTCCCACATTGCCAAGCCTTGCCGCCGCCCAAGGCATTACCTCTAACCCGGCATACCTCCAATTCCGACACTGGCGAACCTACACCCTCGGCCCCGCCACTCCTAAGATAGACAAGGAGGATGCTGCTTCCCCTGCACCCGCTGCACCCCTAAGATAGACGAGAAGGTACTTCGCCACGGCTGCTGCTGCCTCCGTGCTCCTTCGCGGCTGATGCTTCCTCTCCACCGAATCAACTGACCCAAATTCAAATTTCAGGCGACTGACCTGTAGGAAAAAAGGTCTTGGGAAGATCGCAGCTATGTACCCTAGCCTTTTATTTCTTCCAAAACTGCTTGTGCCGTGGGGTGAGATGCGTATCGCTTTCCTCGAATATGCACGAGTGTGCATATCATACTTTATAGAGGGGGGGGGGTAGAGAACCCCAAAGGTCTACAATTGGTATTACAACACCTTGAGCCTTAGCTCCAACTCCCACTCACACATTCCTTGTACAGACTAATCACGTCTCGCCCACCTTTGAAGCTCCACCGCTATGCCGCTCCAATCTCCTTTGAGCAATCCCGCTTGATGCCAAGCATTTCCTTCTGCCAAGATTTTCCGTATTACTCCGTCTAATGAGGGTGAGGCTCTGTCGAAAACAATAGCATTTCTATGTTTTCATAGCTCCCAAAGTACCAGGATCATCATGGCCCGTACGCTCTTCGGTTTTGTCTCACACCAAGTGTTCAGTGAGCCATTCAGTTACAGTGTCCATTGTGGCTTGCTAATTACCGTGCAAATCGTCCTCCATACCGTCCGCGTGAAAACACACATGAGCTCAATATGATTTAGCGTCTCCTCCTCTTGATCGCAGAATGGGCATGCATCATTGTGCGGCAAGCCTCGACGTGCTAGTCGATCCACTGTCCAGCACCAATTTTTCAAGGCCAACCACATGAAGAACCGGCAGCGCAAAGGGGCCTTTGACTAACACGTGAATTGTGCCATCGTCTCCACTTCCTTAGCCGCAAATAGAGCGGCGTAAGCAGATCTGACCCAAAACTGTCATTTGCCTCCCATGCCCAAGATAGGACATCTTCAGTGTCCTCCTGAAGTGTGATTTCCTGAAGTCTATGCCACAAATCAAGGTACTGCATGAGAGCTTTGAAGCTCAAGTTTGGCTTTACGTCCAAGGCCCACGTGCCTGCGTGAAGCGCATCCTTAAGTAACTTGCCGTCCCTCACACGCGGGCTGACAACCTCATAGATTAGAGGTGCAACCTCCACAATCCGGGCCCCATCCAGCCAATGGTCCTCCCAAAAGAGGATGCGGCTTCCATTTCCAATTTCGGCCTTAGTAGCAGCAGAGAATATGGCCATCGATGCTTTAGAGCCGGGATGTTGAATTCATGCCAAGGCCTCGGCCGATCCACTCTCTGTAACCATGCCCATCTGGCCTGCAAGGCCACGTTCAATCTAGCAAGGTTTGGGATGCCCAAGCCATCCGCCCACTTGGGCATGCAGACTCTATCCCAAGCGACGGAGCAGTTCCCTCCATTGGCCTGGGCCTTGCCGCACCACATAAAACCTCGGACGATCTTATTCATGGCATGTATAGTCTTCATGGGTAGTGCCAGGGCTAGCATGGCATGGATAGGTAACGAACAGAGAACCGAAAGGACCAAAATGAGTCTTCCACTCTTCGGGAGGGTAGCCGCCTTCCATGTTGGTAGGCATTGTGCTAGTCACTCCACCAAGTATTGTAGCTGAGCCGCAGAGGGTTTTTTGAGACAGAGAGGGAGGCCCAGGTATCTACAAGGGAAGGCCCCAATTTGGCAACCCATATTGGTCGCCGTTAGCTGTTTCTGCTCCTCTGAGCAGCAGATCAGAATGGCTGCCGTTTTGTTGAGGTTCACGTGGAGACCAGACACAGAGCAAAATAGTTCCAGAATGCGTACACAAGCGCTCAGATCCGATGTGTCTGGCTTCAGGAAGACAATCACATCATCTGCAAAAACGGGCATCCTTTGTTTGATTCCCTCCCGCGCGAGGGGGCTAGGACCTTCATATCCACGGCCAGCTTGAATAGCTTCTGTAATGGCTCCATGATGATGATAAAAAGCATGGGAGAGAGGGGGCTGCCCTGTCAAAGACCCTTGCAGCTGTGGATTAGGACGCTCGGCGTTCCATTTACCATGATGCGGGTTGAGGAAGTGGCCAGGAGCCCCGCCATCTAGTTCGTCCATGTTCTACCGAAGCCCATCCCCTAAAGCACCTCAAGTAGGAACGGCCATTGGACAGTGTCGAAGGACTTTGAAATATCCAACTTTAGCATGATGGTAGGGTGTTTGAGTGCATGGAGACGCCTTGCCATGCTCTGGACAAGCATGGAATTATCATGTAGTGCTCTCCCCTTGACAAAAGTGCTCTGGTGGGGGACGATCAAGTTTGGCAACTCTTGAGCTAGCCGACACGCTAGAACTTTGTCGAAAATTTTGACCGCACCATGCATCAAGCTTACGGGTCTGAAGTCCCGCAATTGCTCTGCGGCATCTTCTTTTAGCAAAAGAGTAACCAATGCCTTATTGATGGAGGCCAAACCCCTCACATCTCCGCGGTGGAACATCAAGAAAGCCGTCAATAGATCATCCTTAATGATGGGCCAGCATGATACAAAGAACCTTGTTGTGAATCCATCCGGACCCGGGAGCTTCGTCGAGTGGCATGGACTTAATTGTATGCAGAATTTCCTCCTCTGAGAATGGCCCTTCCAGTCCACTTAGATCCCGTACAGGAAGACCAAGAGCATCCAGGTTAAGACGGAATTGGCGTGGAGATGTCGCACCCAAAAGCATGTTATAGTAGTTGTCCAATGGACGCAATGTTCTCTTGGCCAGTAATGTGCTCACTATTGTGCGTCAAGGACATCAACACATTCTTCCTCTGCCGATGCCGTGCATGTTGGTGGAAGAATCTGGTATTAGCATCTCCATCCTTAAGGTGAAGAAGTCAGGATTTTTGTCTTGCAATCGTTTGTTCGAGCGACGAGAGCCCAAGAAGCTTCCTCTTCAACGTGCGCCTGAGCTCGATCTCTGCCGCACTGAGGGGCCTAGAATCCATTGCCACATCCAGCCGGAGTATGATTTCATGGGCAATTGCGATTTGGAGGCGAAGGTTCCCAATCCACTTTGAGCTCCATGCTTGTAGGTGACAGGCCGTGGCCCTGAGTTTGTCGTTGAGAGTTAAGTAAGGATTGTCAGTCGATGGTGTAGAGCTCCACGCCTCTTGCACAATCTCTTCCCGAAGTGAAGGTCCGCATGCAAGTCCAGAAGAAACGAGCAACATGATCCGAGATAGCAGATCCAAGGGCGGCGAGAAGAGAGGAGGTGTATGCATCTTCCCATGAGTTCATAGAAAAGACGTGATCAATCTTCTCCAGGGTCGCCAGTTCTCTCTCGTTCGACCAGGTATATCTTCTCCCGTTCAGGTATATTTCCTTCAGTTCCATCCTGTTTAACTTGGACCGGAACCTAGACAGCATCCTCCTGTTGATGGCATCATTGCTCTTATCTTCGGGGTTTACCAAGAGGTTGAAGTCCCCGGCCACCAACCACGGTCCTGCTAGTAGCTCTGGAACCTCCAGTGACTCCTGCATGAATTCTATCTTGGCCACCTCTAGGTTAGGTCCGTAAACACCAGTAAACCACCATGGATCGCCACCAGTGGGTGTAACCAGTATCGCTAAAAATCCTCATGTTTTGCTGCGTCCATATTCTCCGATGCGCGAAGATCACCATAGTATGATATCTCCCATAGTATCGAAGTCTTTGTCCATATTCTCTAGTGAGCGGCATTCCTTATCCCCTTACACGATACACGGAACCCCAACCGCTCGAATCTCCTCCGATCTGGCAATGGCCCCGACGGCTGCAGAGTGGTTCATCCTGTACGACATCCCGAGGGTGGTGGCCAAGGAGGAAAACAATCATAGCATATTCGAGAAATCCACCAACATGTCCTTCACCTTCGAGAAAGCTCCGCTCCGCTCCCCTCCCATGTAACCGTCGTGAGTAACATTGACATGTCCGCCAACAGCACGCTACACTACCCCTCCATCGTAGCGGTCGGTAGCTGCGGTGTCATTCTCCTCTGCGGTTGCACCACGATCGGGATCTCCTACTACCTATGCAACCCATGGATCCGCAAGATGCTGGGCATCCTCCCTCGCAACGACGGCATCATGTGCCCCCACTCCGTCGGCCTCATCCGCCATCGCGGTGACAACCATCTCATCATTGCAGAGCTCAACCTCGTGGCGCCTCGAAGATCGTGGCCGTGTCACACTCCTCTGCATGGAGGACATGTACGACTGGGACGAAAAGAGGTGCTAGTGCTCCAATATCGTGGATGCGATAGTGTGGTGCGGGGACGACGTCCTCTCCCACGAAGGGCTCCTCTGGTGGATTGAGTACTGTATCCCCGCCTGCGACCCCTTCGCCGACAAGCCCAAGATTTACCAAATCATGGGGCTGTTTGGTTTGTGACTAAGTTTTTCAAAGGTTGCCACACCTAAGGTTATGCAAGTTTAACCAACTTACGTTAGTGCTTGGTTCAAGCCACAACTTATGTAAGCCACACTAGGGCCCCACATGACATACACACAAAAATGTGGCAAGATTCTCTTAGGCTTGGCAACTTGTGGCTCTCATTTTGTTAAACTAACCTTAGATAATCTTAACAAAAATGTGTGATAAAGTGTGGCAATGCAAGGCCTAGAACCAAACAGTCCCGTGCTTCCGCATGTCCTCGACGAGCTGCCATTCGCTTGGACCCCGTCAATGGTGACGTACACCGTTGCTTGAGGGTGAGCGGCGGCCGACTGCGATCCGTTCAGATCCATGGCACATGTGACAAGCCGGAGGTCAGCATGTGGACGATGTCCTCCAACGACCCGTCTGACGCGACATGGACAAGCAGGCCCAAGCTCCCCTTGGACAAGGTTTGGGACGACCAGACCTACAGGGATGCAGGGCTGCGTGAGAGGGTCATCCCCGCTGTGGTGCTGGTCCACCCCATGCATGAACACCAACAAGGTCTACTTCTTCTTGGACGGGCACATCTTCGCCATCGACCTGACAAAGAGCAAGGTTGTGGACTGCAAGGAGTTCAACATTTCATGGCCGCCGCACAAAACCTGCTCCTCTCGCCTGGTCCATGCTTGGTAGTTGCCGGTGAAGCTCACCAAAATAGTTCTGAGTCTGGGCCTAATTGGTATCATGTTAAGGAGATTGAATTCGTGAGTCGATGGAACTCGGTGGAAGATTTCCACAACAAAGCTGCCATGATCAGGTGAGCCTATTTTTTCATATGTATGTGGTTCGATCCTTGTTGCATGATATGTTTGCTTTACAAAAGACTGCCCCTTTTCATCATATGTTTCAGTTCTTAATGGATGCAATCTTGTTTCAGTTGATCCAGGTCACTTTTCGAACAACATGTCAGTGGTATGTAGAACATGTAAGCTCTCGCTATTGTTTCATTCAGTGTTTTGGGTGTGGCATGTTAATTAATTAATTGGACATGTTAGCTTGTGCCAAAATTCTGGTTTGTCAACCAGATATAGTCAACGAAAAAAGCAAAAGCAAGTACGTGCTTCATTTGATGAAAAACGGAAATATAAGATTAAATATGGCACTTTGCTTCTGGCAAAAAAGAATGTACTCACCAAGAACACCCGTGTAGTACGACAGAGGTAGTTCAGGATGGTTGATCTTGAAAAGAGACTCTGGATCCGTGATCAAAGTGTATTCTTCACATCCGCTCATGCCCCAAACAAGATCACCTGACTTGAAATTCGGGTGCCCGGATGCTACCACCCTGCCTACTGAAAAAGTAGCCAAAACCTGGAATAATCATACTCGGTGAGGCATTGGAATTTCAGAGAATCTGATTGCAGTGATGAACAGAACACAATAGTCTTCATGGCTTCGTTTTCTAGTAAAAGAAAAGCACTAGTTCATACTTGACATGACAATAGAGTAAACTACAAGTTACATCCGTAAATAACATGGTGTTGAGTGTCAACTGTGAGTAGGATGAACAATAAAATTTAATTGATTACTATCATTTTCCTTTGTCTATATATTAGACAAAAGGAACATTTGCACAACTTGTGCATACACCACTAAAGGCCACAAAAGTTTGAGATCATATGTCTATTATAACTCTATCTGACTGAAAAATAGATGGCCAAGAATATTTCTTCTATGATTAAGACAGGTATTTTTATGAAATTAAAAAATAGTAGATAGATACTCCTTCCAATTCACAATAAGTCATGTTCTAAGTATCTTCGGTAAAAAGAAACTCCTTGAAGTATTTTTTTTGAGGAAATATAACATACAATGTTTCATTGAATTAAGAGAGTTGGAATGTACAAGGGTTTAACTGGGCATAGCCCATGGAGAAGTAAGAAACAAACCTAGACTAGGATGAATTATTAAGAGAGTTGGAACGTACAAGGGTTTAGCTGGGCATAGCCAACAGAGAAGAAAGAACAACTCCAGACTATGGTGGTTGCTAGTCTATCAAAGCAAGTACAGGTCCAGGGATCTGTTTGGGAGGCTTAGTTGGAGTAGCAGAAGGTGATGCATGAGGCAGATCACAGCCCCCCTCGAGGCGAGCACCTCATCGTAAGCTAGCTTGAACGTCGTAGCTGGTGGTTTGGCAATGTTATTGAAGATCTTTGCATTCTTTTCAGTCTAGAGGAACCACTAGAGCAAGATGCAACTAGTGTTCCAGTGCTTGTGAAGCTTTTACTTTTTAAAGAGCATGTGGAGACACATAGATACAATGGCTACTTTCGCAAGGCAGCCTCAAGCAGTGCAAAACATGTTGCGGCCAGTGATCAAGTGCCTAGAAGTATTATCCTTGGGCTAACAGGTGAATCGTAATCTCAAGATGAAAGTGGCAGATGGAGCACACTGGGTTGTGTAGCCATCCCCTCGGTGCTAGCCTGTTGGCGGTCAGACATTTGCCCTAGATCACAATCAAGGCGTGGTGCTTCAGCTTTGGTGGCACATGGGCAGAGAAGTGTGCATCAATCGATGCAGAGGCTAGGGTTTATCCTTCTTTTTGAAGAAAGATGAGGCCATTAAGCTCAGAGCATATGGACCCTCAAATTGGATCAAATAGACAAATTTCGTCGAATAAAAGCCACCTTTAGTCTATTTCTAGGTGATTCGATCTTTGGAATCGTTTAGGTGCACACTGTTCAGACATTTTAGAGTCACATGTAGTTTTTTTTGCGGGACGAGTCGCATGTAGTTGGAGAGGACAACAACATGAAGGAAAGGCTTGATTGCGGCAATCTGCTTTCTGTTGGTTAGAGCTTGAGAGACGAGCATTGCCAACAATAGCTATCTAAAAACAGATACTTGAAATCATCCGTTGACACACAACCATTAAGCCAATGATCGTACCAAAAGGAAGTGGAGCGACCATTACCGTTACAGGTGGAAGATCGGAGGATGCTCTTCGTGAGAGGATCGGTCGACAGATGTAGGCTGAATGATGGTTTTTCACGGTTCTCCCAATTGAGTAACAGCCAGCGGACGCAAATCACTCTATTGTGAATCTCAAAATTGGGGATGCCGAGGCCTCTGAGTGGCTTGGGCGAGAAAACTTACCTCCAACTAACCAGACAATTGCCACCATTATCTTTGTTCGAGCAGGTTCAATGAAAATCATAGCATTGGTCATCTACTTGGGGTGGTATAGAACTAGCATCTGTAATGTGGGGACGACTGAGAGTACATGCTTGACCAGCGTGGCTCTTGTATCAGATAATATGAATTGGGCAATCCATCCAACAATATTCTTTGCTAGCTTGTCCAAAAATGGTTGGAAATCAATATTCTTAGCCTAGTAAAGGCTTGAGGCATACCTAAATATGTGAAGGGGAAGGTGCCAATCAGGCATGACAATGGCTGCCCAATGGTCTCATTGTTGATATTCTCACATCAGATAGGTAGAGGTTGCTCTTGGTGACATTGGTAACAAGGCTATCAACATTGCCAAAGAAAGTGAGCATGGTGTTGGCAGCAACAACATCGTCATCTATCTTTTGTTGAATGAAGATCGTTGCACTGTCGGCATATGAAGAAGCCATGTATCTAAACAGTTGAGGGCTGAGGGGCGAAAGAACACCTTGAGCATGCGCCAAGTTGAATAGGAAGCTATATATTCCATGACAAGCTCAAATAGTAGAGGGGAGAGGGGTTACTCTGTCGAAGACTTTTTTTATGGAAGATGTAGCCAAAAAGGGTTTTGTTCACCGAAATGCACATGCCGATAGAAGAAAGCAGAGATGCAATCCAACACCTCTGGCCAAAACCTCTAAATACGAGTAACTGCATTAGGAGCTCCCAGGATAGTGAGTCAAAGGCTTTAGAAATGTCCAGCTTCAGCATTATGCTTGGGATATGCTTCTCATGTAAAGTTTTGTTCGATCCTTGCACATAGTGAAAAAATTAGATGAATGGTTTGACCTTTAATGAATGATGAATGTGCGCCTTGGCTCTGTTGAACTAGTGTTGG